CCGCTACAGTGGTTTGGACATGTTCAAGCCTTGGACTGATGAGAGGGCACAGTCCTCTCATTGCCATGTGCAAGTCCCAGCTTGGAGAGCAAGGCCCTCCCAACACAATTATAGCCAACAGCTGTAGTTGTAAGCTTGAACCTATTGTTGGAACACGTGGCCCCACGTGCCTGAGTGATGTGGGCTTGATAGTTGAGTGCATAGTTGATATGCATGTAGTTGAGTAGGATTGAAACCCAGGAGAATGTTTGTAAACATCTTGGTCATGCCCTTACTTTGCCTCATAGCATCTGGTATAAAATAAAGGCATGGCTGTGGGCGTGGTCACTGTCTCTCAGAGAATCAGCATCCCACCAAGACCCAGCTTTCATTCTCTGGTCTGTATTTTCTAAGCCTTTCAGCCACTGCCACTCAGGTTTACCCCTGGCCACACTTTAGAACAGTGGTTGGCAAACTCATTAGTCAACAGAGCCAAATATCAACAGTACAATGATTGAAATTTCTTTTGAGAGCCAAATTTTTAAACTTAAACTATATAGGTAAGGCACATTGTTATTACCTTAATTAGGATACTCCTAAGGCTTAGGAAGAGCCACGTTCAAGGGGCCAAAGCCACATGTGTCTCTCGAGCCAGTTTGCTGACCACTGCTTTAGAAAGATATGCCTCCACGCTCCCAGGGCGGGTTCCTGCCTCAAACCCCACCTTTACAGGAAACAGCTCCGGGAAACAACTTGGGGGAGGGCGCAGCCATTGCCAAGACAACCCCTGCAGGACTGACTTCCTTCTGCTTGGTCGCAGCAGTTGTGGTCATGAGGAACACCACCCGTGGTTTTTATATAAGTAGACTAGTGGCTCATGCACATTGAAAGGAAATTAATTAGAATTCCTGGAGCAGCACTGCAGCTCGAAGGGTGTCTTTGGAGTGAAGGGGGGGAGGGGAAGAAAACTCACGCTGGGGTCTTCTGGCTCGCAACACTGGCTCCGGTGCAGGGACTAATGCAGGCAGTCTCGGGTGGTGGCTGGCAGGGCAGGACTGGGCAAGAAGGGCCAGACACGCCCTGGAGCCAACCTCCCGCAGTCCCTCCCCAGCCACCAGTAGCACCTGGAGCAGGACCCCATGGTTCAAAGGGTGTCTTCAGAGTTATCAGGGTCCCTCCGGCAGGTGAGTTCCCTTGGCCTGGCCTGCAGGGATGGGGCCAAAACTGGCTCTCCAGCATCCCCTGAGGGGTCTCAGAGTGCAAGAGGGCACTCTGCAAAGTTGCTGTCGCACAGGATATGGAACACACACGTGTGCAGTAAACCAGATTTGGGGCCAACGGTGCCCCAGCAACAACATAACCCATGGCTGAAGGTGGAATTGGGTGGCCCGGTGAGGAATCAGGCTCCCTCCTCTCTGATTCCAGGATGCATCACCCCTTGGCAGCTCCTGTGTTGAGTGTCTGCCCCCTGGTGGTCAGTGCACATCATAGGTACCAGTCAGTCAGATAGTTGCATGGTTGCTTGGTCTTTTATATATATAGATTGTTTCTGGTGTTCCATTTCAAATGTAGTTATTTCTTCCACATGGTACAAAACTTCTTATCTTAAAAAATTATATAAGTAATACATTCCATTGTTAAAAGATTTTTTTAAAGTCATGCAATAACAAGTATCTAGAGGCAAAAGTATGTTACCTCTCCTTTCCCTGGTCCCATTCCATTCCCCACAGTCCCTTAAGCAACAGCTTGATTAAATCCACAAGTTTTTCCAAAAGTAAAACAATTCTTGGGGTTATTTATTCCCTCTCAGAACTGTAATCTAAATAAAAATACAGATAGTTTCTCTAAAATATTTTAGTGTTTTTAAATTTGTTTTTATTGATTTGAGAGACAGAGAGACGGAGAGAAACATCAGTTTGTTGTTCCACTTATTTATGCATCATTGGTTAATTCTTGAATGCTTGAAAAGTTCCCTGACGGGGCATCAAGCCCACAACCTTGGCCTATTAAGATGATGCTCTAACCAACTGAGCTACCAGGTCTGGGTTTAGTGGGGTGTGTTTTGTTTTTTTTTAATGGTTTTTCTTTTTCTTTCTTTCCTTTTTTTTTCTTTCTTTTTTTAAACAAGAGATTTATTTAAACAAAACACTTGACTTGAAGGGGAAACTATCTAGAATTCATTTCTTTTAGATTAACTAATCCCTACTTAGAGACAGCCTGCCCTACATGTAACAGCTACATACAAAAAGTTATAAAATTGTCATTGGTTTTATAATAATAGATGAAAAACATTAAAATTCTCCAATCAAACAAGGCATACAAGGACTTTATGTTATTTTTTAAAAAAAAAAAACAGTGAGAGCAAAATAACTTACTGGAATATAAAGATAAGAGTGACATGAGCATGCCACTAATGGAGAAAGGGGGTATTTTCACAGAACCAGTATTTCCCCCATTTACCTCCATTTAATGTTGATCAAAACATTGGCCATTTACTTTTAAAAAATGTAAATGCTTGTGCACATACATCAGTTACTTTATGCACAATAAAGGAATGGGAAGGAAAAAGTGAAAGAATAGGAAAAACCAGTACAGTAGTGGTTGGGATGCGGTAGAACAGATTACAGTGTTCTAATTTAGAATGTCTTCTTGGTCTGTAGGAACCGGGTTCTGGAGTAAGGTAGCAGGTTCCTCCTTTATCAGACACTTCCTGTCTGCTGCTGGAACACACCAACCTCCATTTCCAACAATCCAGGTGGGTCTCTTTCATTGATTGGAAGGCCATCAAATCAGAATATGAGCTGCATCATTGACAAATCCTGTCGTTCGAAACAGGCTTGCATTAGTTTACTAAATGGGTATGTGTCTTAATATTTTTTAAACTTTTAAAAATATTTTTTATTGATTTCAGAAAGGGAGAGGGAAAGATAGATGAGAATCATTGGTCAGCTGCCTCCTGCATGTCCCCTAATGGGGGCAGAGCCCGCAACCCATGCATGTGCCCCAACCAGAAATTGAACCATGACCTCCTGATTCATAGGTCAACATTCAACCATTGAACCACACCGGTTGGGCAAAACTCAAGTATTTCTACACCTGCCTTGCATCATTATTTTGTAAGTGTATGTTAACACTTTCGACACGTTTCTCAAATTTTTGTTCAGGGATCACCTGTATTAGAATCACCTGCCTTAAAACAATGAAGATTCTCAGACACCAGGGCCAAAAATTCACTTAGTAAGTCCGGAAGAGGTCCCAGAATCTGTATTTAAGATCCTAAGGGATATAATACATATTAAAGTTTGAGGGCAAAGTTCTAATCTAGACAATTGCTACATAAGCTGTAGGCACTGTGTTTGTGTCCTGCTTGTCTTCACTCCCTGTGAATTAAATGATAGCAATTATGTTTAGGGAAGTCTATGTCCTAGATCAGTGGTTCTCAATCTTGGCCGCACAAGAGAATCACCTGGGAATCTTTTTAAAATCCTGATTTCTGGGCCTCATCCTCTGGAAATTCTGTTTCTTTGTTACTAAAGTTGTGGCCCCACCCCATAAACTAGTGGCCTGGTGCACGAATTTGTGCACAGGTGGGGTCCCTCGGCCTGGCCAGTGATCAGGGCCAATCAGGATTGAGGGAGGTTGGCCAGCTGCATGTAGTCCTTCATAAGGTACAACTTTTATTTCATTTTAGAATAATATATTTAAATTATGATTAAAATAAATAAAACACATTTAAGTATTTGACTTGTTAAAATACTTAAATGTGATCACACATTACAGAAAACTTGAAAAATTAAGAGAAGAAAATAATCAACCATGTTTGCCACCTTAATAAAATATTTTAATTTCCAATAACTTCATTCAAGTCTTCTTTCAAATAAATGTACACACACACACACACACACACACATATATATATATATATATATATATATACACATATATATACAAGGTGTGATACAGGCACACACATATATACATATATATATATATATGTGTGTGTGTATATATATATTTCTTCAATTGTAAGCAGAGCAATATATATAAAATTTCAAATCCTGCTTTTTTACCTAACATTATAAATATGCATTTTACATGCTGTTTTATGATTCCTTGTATTTATAATTATTTGATCCTGCATAATATTTCATTGAAAAACATATTATAATTTTCTTAATTATTCTTCAATTGTTAGAAATGAAGCTTGTTCCAAGATTTTGCTCTTTGCTGTGAATACCTTTGTGTATTCACAAATTTATCAATTTAGTAAGTGGGTTTTCAAATATCCATTTTACTAAAAATAAACAGTCTTTCTTTTAGTACTATGGGGCAGGAACCAACTTTCCTCTACCCTCAAGGTACTTCTGGCTGGTCTAATAATAAAATAGACATGAACAGATTAACAAGAGAAAATGACCTGATTTAATATGTACACATGTATGGGAACTCCACATACGTGACAGAGTCAGAGACTCCCACATGCAACAGAGGTTCAAAGACAGAAGTGGGACATAGGACATTTAGAGCTAGGGATGAGGTAAAGCACCTTGAGCTTCAGAAGGTCATTGCAGGGAGAGTACTTGTTCAGTACTTGCATGGCCAATGTTTAGTCCTACTTCTGCTAGAAGCACCTCAATTTCCTTGTTTCCCTCTAGAAACTACTCCCTCCCAGTATTACATTTTATAATTTAGATGGAGTTAAATCTACTGGCTCTAGAAGTGAGCCATAATTGTGAAATCATATTTGCATATTTAACATTAGCACGGAGAGCTAGAGAAAGCCCAAGACTCAAAGTTATTCACTCACAGTATCAAGTGGTAGAGGGCAACATAAAAGATACATGTCAGGATTCCTGTTGTAAGGCGTGATCCAGGCACTCAAATGATGGCCTCAGGACATTGTCTTTCCCACCCAACTCTAGCCTGTACTTTCCTCTTTTTATTCTCAGGTAACTATGAAGTGACTTCAAGTTTTAAGATTTTAGTTTAGCAACACCACCAGGAAGAGCTCACCATAGTGCTAGCACCCTCCCCTGCCCTCTCCCAACCCCGTCTCAGCTTGGCTTGTACGCACACCTCTGAACAAATAATTGTGGCCAGAGTTGTTACTCTTCCAAGGCTGGTCTGGATAGCATTCCCACTTCTAGAGCCAGTAGATTTAACTCCATCTAAATTATAAAATGTAATACTGGGAGGGAGTCGTTTCTAAAGGGAAAAGGAAATTGAGCTTGTAAGGCAAGTTGCTTACTTCCCTGATGTACAGAAGATAGGTGCAAAGTATTTCTGGTGATCACTCTTATCGTGGGCCAGGCTCCTAATTAAATTCTTCTAGATAAGGTTGGGGGCAGGGTCTTGTGGCCTTTACCTCACAGTTGTCCACATGCCACTGAAGCACATCTTGGGGTGGCTCATTCTGAACGTCTATAGTACCCTGGCCGAGACACTGACTTTTTTTTTTTAAATATATTTTATTGATCTTTTACAGAGAGGAAGGGAGAGAGATAGTCAGAAACATCGATGAGAGAGAAACATTGATCAGCTGCCTCCTGCACGTCCCCCACCGGGGATGTGCCCGCAACCCAGGTACATGCCCTTGACCGGAATCGAACCCGGGACCCTTCGGTCCGCAGGCCGACGCTCTATCCACTGAGCCAAACCGGTTTCGGCGTGACTTTCTATTCAACAAATAAAGGGTCAAAGTACAAAAGTCTGAAAAGTACGTTGGAAGTAACAGTTCTGCCTAATTTCTATAGAATTTCCTAGAGATGGTATAACGGAGTGAAGTGCTCTGTCTCTCTGATTCCATCAAGTCAGCATCATTGCCAGGACTTTCAGGCTATAGCTCCTGTGTAGACATGCTCATCATTAGAAGAGTTCTGCTTGAGGGCTTGCGTTTTTACAAAAATAGGCCATCCCATGTTCCCGTCCCTTGACGTAAAAGAAGCCTGAATTCTATACTTTAAGGTGGACCCGAGGAACGACTAGGGCTCCCATCTTTTGGTTGGAATGGTTGATCTTTCTCAATCAATAAAACTTTCTTCCTCCAAACTCTGATGTTTTGAGTTTGGGCTTTTCTAAACAGAGGGCACACAGACTGGTAATAATAGTCACCCAACTTTAGTATGATCACTCCACTGGTTTTAGAATTTCTATTGCCATCTTCAGCATGGACACATAAAACTATTGTACAAGTTTTTGAGCCAGCCTCTCTGGCTTCCTTATGTGAAACCATTGCAACCACCCCACCCCCATTCCAGTAACTTTTATCCACTCATTTTAGTTAGTTATTTACCATTCTTCCTCTTTGTGCTCACTGTGTTCTGTTTCTCTCTCCAGTTCCTCCCCACCCTTCTCCACCCTGCTTTCTGGGGCCGGAGGCTGGCCTGAAAGTACTAAATCAGCTCTTGGCTGACGGGGCTCCCAGCAAGGAAAGCATGTGAAGGGAGGGTATTTACTCTGCTGGTGGTCTCCCTGCAGGATCATTTAAAGCTGGCTGTGTCCCTTCATTAAAGGTGATCTTCTTGATAAAACTTTTTTGAGTTCCTCTTTCTGGGTTGGTTAAGTGGCCTCTCACAAGCCCCTTCAGACCAAAGAGTAATAGCCCAGGGTATTGAGGTGTTCTTGTCCCTTTAACAACTTATTTGGACTATCTTAATTTGAGCAAGCCATCTGTTTCCTGTTTTCCGCTAGGATGTGTCTGACTTACTCTACATGCTCCTACTAAATGTAACCAGATTGTCACAAAACTGGAGTTATAACTACTTGCCTTATTGATACTGACAGTTGAAGGGTCCAGAGCACACTGGCATGGCTCACTCTGCTCACCTCTAATATTCACCACTGCATCGCTCAGTTAATTCATAATTCTCTGTCAGAATGAAAGAGAACCTTCACTAAACCAGGATAACATTCATCTTCAACGGCTTATGAACTAAAAGAGTTTGCATTGCTTTCTGTTAAAGCTCGGATTTTTAACTCATAAAAATTTTTACGTTAGATAAGTATCTGTGCCAGAGCTATTTGAATAATAGCATGACTAGATGGCATGAGAGATAAATGTGTATTTTTCCTTGGTGAGTGTTCAGTGCCTAACAGGCTATGGATAAAGTAGTAACTCTGGTAATCACAACTTGAAAAAAAAAAAAGCCAGCTTCTCTGAGTGCTCTAGTTATTTATTCCATATCTGTAAGACACCCTCCTGTAGAAACTGAAGTAATTCTTCCAAGCCTTTAGTGGAGCATTATTTGGCAAGTTACCTTCTGGGCATGCTTAATCTAAGTTTTCATTTTATAGGGAAAATGCTTTTTAGTATTAAGGACATACCAAAGGGATCAAGGCATACTAGCATTGCTAGATTAATTATTTCCTTTTAGAAAGAATGCTTAAAATGGATAAAAAGAAGCGACTGAAGATATCTCAAGTGCCAATTCATTATGTCATTTTCTTGATATGGTTCTTCTTCTGATTACCAGTTGGACTTGTTTTGCTCTTACAGAAGAGAGGGTTTGGATTAGTGAGTGAAAAAAAAGACGTGAAGGGCTGAGTCAAGGCCAAGGAAAACTTGGCTTCCTCACTGTGTGTTGGGCGATCTTCTCTTCTCAATCTTTCCTTTCCTTACTAAATCTCACCCATTTCCATGTCTCCAATTACCACTTATTACAGATGACTCCCAAAATAAATCTCAGCACAGACCTATCTGAGCTCCAGACCCATAAATACAACTATCTTCTTGGCATTGCCAAGTCGAGATATCTC